GCAAGCTGAGGGGTCTGGGTCCCAGTCAAGACCCAGCCCCAGAGATGTGCAGCTGCGGCAGGTGGGCCTCAAGAAATATCTATTCAGACTATGCCCTTGGACGGTGGAGGCAGCATTCCTGAATCCAGGGTCTGAGCCCCTACCCCAACGTTAGGGCAGGACTCTGCTTAGGGCACCCAACCTGCTCTGCTCAGGATGACAAGAGGGAGGTGGACAGAGAGGGCAGAAGGGAAAGACAACCAGACTATGACCTCCTGAGCACCTGCACTTCAGGCACCATCATAAAAGTCATTCCCGCCAGGCGCGCTGGCTCAAGCCTGTAATCCCAGCATTTTGGGAGGCCGAAGCAGGTGGACCACCTGAGGTCAGGAGTTCAAGACCAGCCTCACCAACATCAAAAAACCCCGTCTCTACCAAAAATACAAAATTAGCCTGGCGTGGCGGTGAATGCTTGTAATCCCAGCTACTCAGGAGGCTGAGGAGGGAGAATTGCTTGAACCTGGGAGGCGGAGGTTGCAGTGAGCCGAGATCATGCCATTGCACTCCAGCCTGGGCAATGAGAGCAAAACTCCCTCTCAAAAAAAAAAAGAAAGAAAGAAAGAAAGTCATTCCCAGTTTTACAGCTAAAAAAAACCCTGAAGCTCAATGAGGTGCCAGAGGCAGCACAGACAGGAGGGAGGGAGCCCCAGTGTCAAACCTAAATACCTATCTCCAAAGCCAAGCTCCCACCAATGTGTTATGCTGAGCTGGGAGACAGAAAACAAGCCCACAGACAGACACAGACACAGACACAGACACAGACACAGACACAGGCAGGAAAACTGTGCAGGCTGAGGGCACATCAGCATCATTCCTGGGGGCTCTTCAGCTGGGTGGTCCTGTCCACGTCACAGCTCTCTGAGCCCCCTCGCCCATCTGTAAGATGGAGCTAAAGAAAGCCCTGTAGGGCAGTGACAGCTGAGGACGAAGGAGGTCTGCCACATGGGGAGCGCACAGTGTTGGTCACACCTGCGGACACCTGAATGAATCTGTTCTTCATGGAGACCGGCTGGCACTTTTCTCTCTGAAGAGTAGATCTTTATTTGAAAAGAATAAAATGAATGATTCCCTTCCCATCACAAAAGCTGTTGCCCTTGGGCAGGCGCAGTGGCTCACACCTGTAATCCCAGCACTTTGGGAGGCCAAGGTGAGCAGATCTTCAGAGGTCGGGAGTTTAAGACCAGCCTGACCAACATGGAAAAGCCCCATCTCTATTAAAAATACAAAATTAACCAGGTGTAATGCTGCATGCCTGTAATCCCAGCTACTCAGGAGGCTGAGGCATGAGAATTGCCTGAACCCAGGAGGCGGAGGTTTCAATGAACCAAGATTATGCCACTGCACTCCAGCCTGGGTGACAGAGCGAGACATCCTATTTAAAAAAAAAAAAAAAAAAAAAAAGCTGTTGCTCGTAAGGCTAAGTGAATGGGAACCTGAACTGTATTCAAGAGTTCATTCCTGGAGTGGGGGAGACTCCTCATTGAGCAGGAAAGGGCCTCTGCATTCCAAATACCAGATCCCAACAAAGCTTCTTCCCAATGAATGAATGCGTCGTGTGCATTATGCAAAAGGATGGCAGGCAAGGCCAAGAGAGAACCACTGCTGGCGTGACACTTGCTCTCCTAAGCATTTCCCAACCCCGGTGCACAGCTGACAAAAGCACACATCAGAGGGGGCCCTGAGACACCATGAGGATCCCCATCCCCGGCCCTGCTCAGGTCCCTGGGGCATGATCAGATCATCTGTACACCGTCCCAGGCCTGCACAAGCTGTTCTGAGATCCATCTCACGGAGTACCTGCTCAGGCTGATGGAGAGTGCTGAAATTCCCAATGCGGTTTGTAAATACCTATCAATATTCCACAGGTGCATAACCTTTGACTCAGACATTCCGTTTCTAGGAATTTACCCCAGAGACATTTCAACAAGGTTGGGGGAGGAACACTCCTGCTTTGTTCCTCTCTGTTCAGTCATCTCCGATTCCTCCCTCTGATGCCTCCCTTGAGCATGGGTTGATGGGTTGTCAATTCCCAAGTGGGCTTTACTAAAAGCCTGGGAAAACCAAATGGGAATAAGCCAGGAAAGGCAAAAGTCACCGGATCGTTCCAGCGTGTCCCAGGGAGCGATGGGACTCACACCCCGGTACTACTGAGCGCTACCTCACAGCCCTTCCCCAGAACCCAGTCCTCGAGTTCCCCCAGGAACCCCAAGTATAAAGCAAGACAAACACAAAGTGGTTTGCACCTGCAGTCACCCCAACCAGATTTCACTCGGGTCTCCTGGTCACTCTTAAGAAGTCTTGTGAATTGCGTTCCACTCCACATCTGTGCACACTTTAATAGCAAAATAATATCTTCAACGACTCCCGAGTTCAACGGTTTAACCTTTTCTCCCGTCACCAAGTCGTCTAAAGTGGATGTTCCCACAAAGGGGAGCCATGTTTTACACTACACACTAAATGACTTAACCTTTCCACCCCTCAAGAAAAATGCTCATCCCAAGAAGATGAGACATGTTTTAAGTTATATATTAAATTACTTAACCTTTTCCTTCTGAATCCGCAAGTCAAATGGACACACGTGGAAGATACACCCCATTTAGCCTATGGTTTCTCGAACTCCTGACACCATCATGGGTTGAACGTATCCCAGTTTGAGAAACACAGTTTTAGGCTTATCTTTAGCATCTGCAAAGAGAGGGTACCCAAGACCCCTAGAAAGCCAAGGCTGGGCGGATGAGAGAGGACATTCAGGAACAATGCTTTGAGGCTTTGAGCCATTTTTTTTTTTTTGAAACAGTCTCGCTCTGTCATCCAGGCTGGAGTGCAGTGGCGTGATCTCGGCTCACTCCAACCTCTGCCTCCTAGGTTCAAGTGATTCTCCTGCCTCAGCCTCCCGAAGAGCTGGGACTACAGGTGTGCACCACCACGCCTGGCTAATTTTTGTATTTTTAGAAGAGACGGGGTTTCACTACGTTGGCCGGGCCCGCCTAGGCCTCCCAGAGTGCTGGGATTACAGGCGCAGGTGAGCCATTTCAGCCTCAAAGATGCAGTTCATTTTGTTCCCACTTGATCGTCTTTATATTCGGAAGACCTTTCCCCCTTCAAGCTTCTGGTCTTAAGCCATTACTGACTGTTACTTCCATTTCCCATTTGAATCTCCATTTTCCAATGTTATTTCCATACTACAATGCCAATACATTGTAATAGAAGGAAGAATGAGGTCTTCCTGTGTAGTGAAACGGTTGAGCATAACTGAGGTAGGATCCACCTCTTAAGAACAGAGGTCAAGATCTCAGTAGGGTTTTGTGAAGGGCTGAAAATTTCTCTGAGGGCTCTTGCTGCTTACTACCTCCTCAGACCCCAAATCAAGATCAGAATGCTCCCGAGAGCAGGCTCAGGATCACACAGCTCTAGATACAATCAGCTTGGCCAGCTTCCAGCTGTGTGAGCTGCAGGAAGTTCCTCAACCTCTCTGAGCCTTGGTTTCCTTATCCATAAAAGGAGGCTACGTGGGGGGTCCCAGCCATTAGGCTTGCAGGAGTATGACTGGAGACAACGTGTGCAAATTGCTCATCAATGTGATCAGCATGTAATAAGCACTCAATGAACAGCAGTTCTTACTGTTCCCTGATTTATTTTTGAGACCGAGTTTCACTCTTGTCACCAAGGCTGGAGTGCAATGGCTCGATCTCGGCTCGCTGCAACCTAGTCCTCCCAGGTTCAAGTGATTCTCCCGCCTCAGCCTCCCAAGTAGCTGAGATTATAGGCATGCACCACCACGCCCAGCCGATTTTTTATTTTTGTGTTTCACCATGTTGGTCAGGCTGGTCTTGAACTCCTGACCTCAGGTGACCCACTTGCCTTGGCCTCCCAAAGTGCTGGGATTGCAGGCATGAGCCACGGCATCCGGCCTGCTCCTGATTTAAACCAGCCACTGTCACTGAGGAGAGACTCAAGGAGAGATCCGAGATCCAAGAGCGAAGTTACCTCAGACAAAGTTTGGGTGCAGGGTTCCCTGACACCTCTCCTAACTTTCCTCACACAGCCTGAGGGAAGGAGACAAGGCTTTCAGTTCCCAAACCCAGAAAGCACTAAAGCTCCAAGAGGGACCAGAAACTCAGCCCAGCAGGTCCCAGCTGAGGCTCCGGGGCCCCCCGGCTCTGCTGCCTTTGAACCCCAGTGTGCAAATGGACAAAACAAGACAAGATCTGCAGCTCTCCAGATGCACGGTCTGGAGGACCAGGCCCAAGTGGAAGCAGGAACAGGCGGGAGTGAAACAGCACAATGGCTCCCACACAGGCCCGGTTCCCTCCTTTGTCAGGACAAGCGGGAGATTCCACTTCTCTTCCCTCTCCACCCACCCCTATAAGTTCCAGGCGTGGCTCCGTGACTTGCTGTGGCCAATGAATCATGAGCAATGACGTGTGCCCTGTACGAGTGGCCACACCCCTGTCTTGCCTCCAGGTCAGCAGAAGCACATGTTGAGACGGGCGCTCCATCGGCTGTGTCACTGCGTGATCAGGCGAGCAAGGCGCGTGTCCGAGGTGCATCTTACTGATGTGCCCTGGACATCTAGCATGGAGGAGAAGTAAACTGTAGGCGAGAGGAGCAGCTGCACTGCCCGTGACGGCGGCACAGCCCAGCTGCACTGGCTGATTCAAGGGGCCAAAAGAGCAGGGTCTAAGGCAGCACTTTCAAACCGTCTGTGAGAAAAGGCCTATTTTTATTTTATTTCCAATCCACTGTTGACCAATATTTTTGAAAAGTATAATTAAAATCTCATTGCAACGTCCACTTGCTAAGAGGTTTCCACACCCTCACTCTTGCTGTCCTCACTTCTGTCCCTGCAGGCTGGTAACAAGCTCTGCAGCTGGGCACAGACCCGGACCACTCGTGGAAGGGCACAGACTACACAGTACAGCACAGGTGGGCTCCAGGCCCCAGCGGCCATTTTCTTTTTCTTTTTTTGAGACAGAATCTTACTCTGTCAGCCAGGATGGAGTGCAACGGCGCGATCTCGGCTTACCGCAACCTCCGCCTCCCAGGTTCAAGTGATTCTCCTGCCTCAGCCTCCCAAGTAGCTGGGATTACTACCGCGCCCAGCTAATTTTTGTATTTTTAGTAGAGACAGGGTCTCACCATGTTGGCCAGGGTGGTCTCAAACTTCTCACCTCATGATCCACCTGCCTCAGCCTCCCAAAGTGCTAGAATTACAAGTGTGAGCCACAGCGCCCAGCCCTGTTGACCATTTCCTATTTTCTTTTTCTTTTCTTTGAGACAGAGTCTCACTCTGTTGTCCAGGCTGAAGTTCAGTGACATGATCTGAGCTCACTGCAACCTTCGCCTCCCAGATTCAAGTGATTCTCGTGCCTCAGCCTCCCAAGTAGCTGGGATTACCGGTGCCCACCACCGTGCCCAGCTATTTTTTGCATTTTTAGTAAAGACTGAGTTTTACCATGTGGGCCAGGCTGGTCTCAAATATCTAACTTCAAGTGATCTGCCTGCCTTGGCCTTCCAAAGTGCTAGAATTACAGGTGCGAGCCACGAGGCCTGGCCCCGCTGGCCCTTTTCTGACACTGGGGAAATAGCTGACCCTTTCCAAGCCTCACCTCTCCATTTATAAAATGAGAGTCTGCATGAGAGGATTTAAATATAAAGCCCATGGAGCATACGGCCAGGTATGAACAGGCCCTCAGTAAATGTCAGCTACTCAGCCACATCACGCCCTGTTCCCAGGTGACGATGTCTGTCACCGACAGCCCTGGCCATATGCTCAAGGATCTGGAGTGAAGCCATGGGCTTCAGGCAACCTCAGAGCAAGGCAGTGAGTTGAGATTCAGAATTCAATTCTAGACATCCACTCTGAGGTAACGTGACCAGACTGGCACCTCAAGGGGCAGAAGGCCAGGCGCAGTGGCTCCCGCCTATAATCCCAGCACTTCGGGAGGCTGGGGCAGGAGGATCGCTCGAGCTCAGGAGTTCAAGACCAACCTGAGCAACATAGAGAGACCTGTCTCTACAAAAAATTTAAAAATTAGCTAGGCCAGGCACAGTGGCCTATAATCCCAATACTTTGGGATTAGCTAGGCCAAGGCAGGTGGATCACCTGAGGTTGGGAGTTTGAGACCAGCCTGGCCAACATGGTAAAACCCTGTCTCCTCTAAAAATAAATAACAGACAGACAGATAAACAGACAGACAGACAGACAGACAGACAGATAGATAAATATACATAGATAGACAGACAGACAGATAGAGAGAGAGAGAGAGAGAGAGAGAGATAGCCAGGTGTGGTGGCACATTATCTGTGGTCCCACCTACTCGGGAGGCTGAGGGGGACGGATGCCCTGAGCCTGGGAGGTCAAGGCTGCAATAAGCCATAATTGTGCCACTGCACCCCAGCATGGGCGCAGAGAGACCTTGTCTCAAAAAATAAAAATTAAAATAAAGGGCGCAGAGGAACAAGGACTAGGTAGACGAACCACTGATCCACTGAGACCAGGGATGACATCAACTACTTAGTGCCAGGAGGAAGATCTGAACCACCAAGCACCTGCCGCCACACAGCAGAGCCACAGATGGTGGCCCAGCACTGTGTGCACTCCAGAGCAGGGTGGCCATGCATCTTGGGTTTTCCTGGGTCTGAGGGATCTCCTGTAATTCAAGACTTTCAGTATAATGGGGATGATATTGGGCAAATCAGAACAAACTGGTCACGCTACTCCAGAGCCTGTGTTCTTTAGCTCTAATATTTAGGGTGTGATGAACTAGGGCAGCTCTTTCATAAAACATCAACCAGGAGGCCAGAGTAGAACTCCAGCTGCTTAACAGACTGCCTGGGAAAGCCACATCCCACGACATCACACAAGCATATCTAAGGACAGAGAGGCAGGGCGTGATGGACGCAGCATCAAAGATAAAGCGATTACCCGGCATCGCAGGGACAGCAATGGCTCCAAATGGCCTGCGGACCGGCTCTGCCCTGAGGTCGGTTCAGGAACGAGAACTTCTAAATACTGGACACATAACAGAGGCTTGTTCTTGCTTCTTTTTTATTTTATATTCAAACAATAGGTCATCAGAATCTGCTTGGTTAATGGCCATATTTTCATAATTGCCGAACAAAGCTATGGGAATATGATGATAATGGTAATACTTTGCATTTCTCAGAAAGACAGGTCTTGGATGTGACTTCATTTCCCAGAGCCTGCTGGCTGTCTTCTGTCTCGGTCCTCCCCATCCTCACCCAGCCATCAGCATGACACTCAAATGCCTGGTGTGACAGGTCCGTGGATTGCTGGGTGAAGGAGTTAACGAACGAGGACGTCTCTGTTCTGCGGGTAACCCAGGCACCCCCAGGTAAGGCAGCCTGGGTGCTCTGTGGCTGTGTCATCTCCCCCTCCACTGCTCCCACGGAGGCAGTGCCCCCATGTCCCCAGGACTGTCCTGAATGCTCAATACAGAAGCTGACCATGTAACCAATGAATGAAATGAAGCATCACTGATCACTTTACTAGGACCACAAGTGTAAAGTGGGACTGTCCCAGGCAAAGCAGGACAAGTGGTCACCTCACTGATGTAGCATCTCACCTAATGCTTGTTATGCTTCAAGTGCCACCCTAGGCACTGGGGCCAGACTCCATGGTCTGAAGCCCAGCCCTGCCTCCTAGCAGCTGGGTGCGTTAGTTAACCTCTCTGGGCCTCAGTTTCCTCATCAGAGCTAGGCAGCAGCTGCCCCTTAGGGCTGCTCTGCAGATTGCGCTATTTAATAATTACAACACTTAGAATAGGGCCTAGCACATGTAGTAGACGCCACATGTGTGCTGACTGAATAAAAAAGTCCCCCCATTATCCCCAGTATTATTGCCGCTTCATCCATCATCCAACAAAGGAACAAGGGCTTAAGTGACTCGCCAGTTAGTAGCAGAACGGCTGACACCTGTAATCCCAGCACTTTGGGAGGCCGACGCAGGCGGGTCACTTGAGGTCAGGAGATCGAGACCAGCTTAGCTGACATGGTAAAACCCCATCTCTACTAAAACTACAGAAATTAGCTGGGCATGGTGGCATGCACCGGTAGTCCCAGCTACTCGGGAGGCTGAGGCAGGAGACCTTGAACCTAGGAAGCAGAGGTTACAATGAGCTGAGATCACATCACGCCACTGAACTCCAGCCTGGGTGGAAAAAAAAGAATCAGAGTCCAACCTGAGTGTCAAAGCCCGTGCCACACCCATCCTGCGATCCTGCCCCCACTCCACGCCACTCCCGCATCTTCCCTCCCCATTCAAGAATTTAGGGCTGTTCTGCAGATTAAGCTATTTAACAGTGTAACCTCACAATCAAGTGAGAAGAAGTGCAAGGAGCCCGATACAACGTGTGGCACGGGGCACTGTCAGAGCTCCCCCTGGGGCTGAGGGTCCCCTGCGGCTGTACGGCACACGCAAAGCAGGAGGCACCCATCCCAAAATAGGACGGGCATTTGCTTCCCGTGCGTCACAATCCGAAGTTGTTCTCCTTTTCTCTTCTTGCCAAATTACTCGATCTCAGAAATTCCTTAGCAAGACAAGACTGAAATGCAATCTCCAACCCCATCGGGCCCAGTGGAATTTCACCAACACAAATTGCTGCGTTCTCCAGGAAAACAGCCTGAAGTTTCAGATTCTCGCTAGGTCTTAGAAAGCTCCAGCACTTGAGCAGCTCCTGGAAGTGGCAGGAAGTGGTTTGCCTTTGCTTATTTTCCAAAGGATAACCACCAGATTTGCTCGTAAAAACTTGCTAACCAATTGGCAGAGGGCACCTGCACAATCGAACGACTTCTCCCCTCCTGGGCTTTCTTCTTTTGTTGGCTCAACTCATGAGGCCTCAGAGACACAGACGCACAGGCCTTGCCTTGACACATGCAAAGGAGGAAGGAAAGAAAGAAGGGAAGGAGGGAGGAAGAGGAAGGAGGGAGGAAAAGGAAAGAAAACAGGGTGGGCGCAGTGGCTCACACCTGTAATCCCAGCACTTTGGGAGGCCAAAGCGGGTGGATCACTTGGGGTCAGCAGTTCAAGACCAGCCTGGCCAATACAGTGAAACCAAGTCTGTACTAAAAATATAGAAATTAGTCGGGCGTGGTGGCACTGGCCGATAGTTCCAGCTACTTGGGAAGATGAGGCACGAGAATCGCTTGAATCCAGGAGGCAGAGGTTGCAGTGAGCCAAGATCATGCCACTGCACTCTAGCCTGGGTGACAGTGAGACTTAAAAAAAAGAAAGAAAGGTGGAGGAAGGAAGAAAGGAAGGAAGGACATTTTGATAAAGAATCAAAATTCACCAAAAGAAACGTTAAGCCACAGCCCATGGCTTCATGTTCACCGGTGCTCGGGCAGGACGGCACATCGGCTCTAAAAGACGCCGGAGGCTGGGCTGGCAGGACACAGAGGGAGGGAGGGAAAGAGGACCAGAGACCAAGCAGTGGCTGAAGAAGGCAGACTGCCCTGAGGGACCCGGTATGTTCCGCATCAGGAGGGAGAAGGAAGAAAGCCTCCTCCAGAAGCGAGCAGGTGAAGCCAGGCGTGCGTGCAGAGCCCCGGAAGGCAAGGGCAGAGGACTCTGGATGCCTCCCATGGGGCCAAAATAGGAGCGTCATGCCCGGGCTGACAAGTCCAGACTTGAATATGAACAACACAGGCAACAACTGCACGTCGCTGGGCGGGACGGAGCTGCTGCCCCCAGAACTCTTTCAGAGTCAGAGGGCACTGCTGGGGTGCGGTGTGGGTAAAGGACTGGAAGGGGAAGCATGAGTTTCCTCCACTGCTTCTCAGAGAGCCTTTGGGGAGCCACCTCTGCTCCCTGGATGGAGGCCACATGCCAGCCCAGTCCGCTATAGACATCCCCAGATTCTTGGAGGCTGGGATGGGAGCATGTGCTCTGGGCCAGCCCAGAAGATGGATGGCAAGGAAGCTACACAGGCGCTGGAACGGGCGGCTGCTAAGCTGAGGGGACAGCTTGGCCAAGGCTGCCTCCCACGCAGAGGTCACCGCCAGGGTGCACAGGTCCAGACCTGTGTACTCACTTCCCTCCCCAACTGGGCACTTGGGAGAAATCAGAGGACATCCTATAAGGGACTCTGAAAGGGAGCTGGAGATGAGGGCGAGGCTTGGGATACATGTGTATCCCAAGTGGCGTGTGCGTGCAGAGGCCAGCATGCTCTCAAGTATGTGTGCCAAGCGTCCTTCCATGCACAGGTGTGAGGCGTGTGCACCCATGACCCTGAGATGGAGTGCTCATGGCCCTGTGTGTATGCCGTGAGGCGGTGTGGCCGTGCTGGGACCACATTCACAGCGTGGATGGTGCCTGCATGCACACTTATCTTCAACAGGAAAACAGCATCACGTCGGGGCCAAGACCTGGACTAGAGCCTTGAGCAGGCAATCCAACTTCTTTACACCCATCTAACTGCTCTACACCTCAGTTTCCTCATCTGTAAAATGCAGGCTAAACACAGAAACTACCTCCTAGTATTGATAGAGGGATTAAATACATTTCTATTTGGAAAGCCCTTAGATGCTTGTACACGGGGTCCTACTAAATGATACAAATGTGTGTTAAAACACAAAGCATACATGTGGGTGAGTGGTCACACAGCTGGGAGCCTGTAGGTATGGAAACTAACTGGGACTGTGTGCACACGCCGGGCAGGAAGGTGTGGCTGGGTGTGCACAGATGTACAAGACGGAAGAGTGTTTGCCTGTTTGCAAACGTGCGTACTGCATGTATCCATGAAGCCTGGGGGCGGGACTGCATGCCAGGGCCCAGGACACGTCTGCTCAAGAACCATGCAGCATATGAATACACGTGTGTGCACGTGGGGTATGCAAGTGTGTGCAGCCATGTTCTGGAGCATGCATGTTTGTGGGTGCCTGGGCAGGGGCATGGAGGGATGGGAGCCCTGAGTCAGGTTTCTCACAGGGATTATCAAGCCTCTGCTCCCATCCCTGTGAGAAAACAGGACCATTGGGCAGAGGCAGAGAGGCCCCCTCAGAGCTGCCGCAGCCCCAGAGAGACTCAGTGCAGAGCTGAGGGCCCACTCCAAAATGTCTGGGTGACAAGGGCCGAATATCACTCAGTCCTGTGCCCAAGGGAGGGACAGAGACCCCAACATGACAAGCCCCCATCCTCAGGTCAGGTCCCGGGGCTCCACAGCCGTCATTTCATTAAACCCTTTGGACCGCCTAGAAGGAGCGTCATCCCCATGTTTCAGACAAGGTAGCCGAGTTCTGTGGTTAAAACATCTGCTCAGAGGCCCACTGCTAGGGAGCTCTGGGTTCCCAGTCAGCTGTGTCTGACCTCTGTCCTCAGAGCCACCATGCAACTCTGAGAATGAATGAATGAGCCAACACATGCATGCATGCATGAATGAACACACCAACAAAGAACAACAAAAAGGAAACCGAAACTTAGTGACCGGAAGAGGAACAAAATAAAATAAAGGAAGCTCAGCAGAGTCGGCAGGTACTGCCTGGAGAAGCCTCTGGGGGGACTGCACCCGCTCTCTGCGTGGGCCACAGCTGGAGCAGCAGCCATGGTGGTCCGCAGGGGACCCGGGAGCCCATGCTGCACAGGCAGAAGGAGCTTTCTTTGTCGCCCTCGAGGCTGCAGCAGCAGAGGAGGTAGCGAGGCACCTGTATGGCCCAAGGGTCCCAGAGCACAAGCCCGGCAGCTTCACAGCAGGGCCAGGCCACCGGAGCCTTCAGCATCAATTCCAAAAACTGGCACTCCACACTCTGTGTGAGTCCTGTGGGATTTGGGGCTAACAAGACCTCGGATGCCAAGGCCCAGACACCTTCGGAGGGCCAGTCTGCTGAGGCCTGGGCATTACTAACAAGATGAGCTATTATAGTGACTTCTCCAAGCCAGCTGTGTCCTAGGGCCCCATAGGGTTCACGTTAATGAAAAACTGAGACAGTCCCCTTGCTTCCAGAGACCCATCTGGAAGCCACCAGCTGGGTTCAGGGGTTCTTTAGAAACAGTTTCTGGAGACCCCTACTTAGTATGAGCTCCAGCTCTAAGTGGCCTCGGAGAAGTGGCTGAATCTCACTGAGCCCCAGTTCTTCCTACAGAGTAAGGAGCACTCATCCATGAAGGGTTATTGGTGGAGAGGACCAGTTCAAGGTCTGAAAAACATATCTCACAGACAGGTAGCAGGCCCTTCCAAGAGACAGCTGGTCTCATAAATGGCAGCCGTCGGAGGCCCTGGGGCTGCCTGAGCAGTGGGGAGCCCCAAGTTACTGAGCTCCCCGGGCTATGCAAAGCTGCCAGGCAGGGCTAGAGGGAGAGTGGACGGCTGCATGAACACCACTGGCTCCAGATGCCCCACCATGCCTGAGAGGCCCAGGGTCTACAGCCCCCTCTATGCCGAGACCTCCCCACAGCCCAGACACCCTTTAAAAGGCCCAGCACCGGGGCATCTCTGCAATCCACTTCCATGGCCTCTTTCCATTACTGAACTCCCCAGTCCAGCCAGCAGTAAGCAAACGGCCCAGTTGCCAGGCTGCAGGCAGGTGTCCGGGGCACTGCCCTCCAAGCGTCACTGGCTTCTCCCTCTTGAACCTGTCCTTTGTCCCCTTGGCTCCCATTCAGTTTCGCAGAATGTGAGACTCTGCTCATGGGAATTGGGAAAAAGCCCAAGAGATGGAGTGCCGGGTTTC